TATTCCTGATTTAAACCATCTGCAGGCTCGACTTATAGACAAGATTCGTGAAATTAACAATACCCCGAGCATCTTAGAAAATGTCTTTAATTCTTTGAGGAACAGGTGTGAAAAGTGCTTGGAACAAGGAGGGGGACACTTTCAGCAGCTGCTTTAATTTATTGTTATAACAAGGAGGGGGACACTTTCCGCAGCTCCTTTAATTGTTTGTTATTGTTATCACGATTATTCTTTAAAATAAAGTTATATAGTCATTAACGTTATTGAAACTGACAGCTGCTATACAGCTCGTTGAGAAATGAGGTTAAGTTGGTCGCTATAAGCTACTCCCTACGTCCAATGTGTCAGAGCCAACTTCGACCACGTTTTTATTTGAACGCTCGTTATTTATTATCTACTTTAATTAATACGTGGGCACTTAGAAATGTTCAGAGAATGATTTCCAGACACTTACCGTACGTCGCTCATGTAGAACGTAATCCAGTGGTTGGTTGTATAGGGTGACACTTAAGTTGGAAGAACAAGAAAACACCAAAACTTTCCAGGAAGGGTTTTAATAATAATAAAAATAAAACAAACAAAACAACGGTAACACAACAGACTTGAACAAACATTATTGATTCATTTACACGCGACAGCATACCTAGATTCAGAGAATGCGAGATCCATAGCAAAATTTGGAATGACTTTATCCATTATTAAATTACCCTGAGACTCTAAAATTAAGTAGAACCCAAGTGTGGAACCCAAGGAAAAACTGCCTTCGGAGATCTCTTCTGAATTCAATACCACGCCCACGCTTCAACACGCTCATTTCTGGGGTACAGAAGATTCGGTTCTTATCTTATCTTACTGGCGGGATTCCTGAATATCGGGGCGCTTTGGCATAACTATACCATGTTAATAGTTATCTAATTGACTGAATTTACAATTGAATAAATAATTTTGTGACTAAACTGAACGTACTCTACACCTTCCTTTCGTGACTCCGTATAGCAACACGGGACGGATTAGTCAATCTCATTTAATCTATAATAACTTGGAAAATTCGCCTAAAAAACAGCTATTTGATCCATTATTATTTTCCTCACAACATTCTAACAACTTATTTAAATATCTTGGAATTCCTAAGTCTTTTCGAATGCATTTCGCGCGTTATTAGAGATATCGATTTTCCCTTGATACCAGATGTTCAACACATGGCCCCGACGGTCTAAGTCAACTTTGTCAAAAACATTGCTAAATTTCATGAGGCCTTCTTCGAAGGACGGCTTTGCAAATTTATTACTACCGGTGACGAAAGACACTAGTCTCTCGACGACTTTATGGCGACGCTAAACTTACTTGAAAACCCTTAACTTTTCAATAGTTATTGTTGACTGACATATTTTACTGTCTTAGTTGGACCATCCGTTCCGAGAACTGACAAATAAACTACCCCGCGTCCCGGCTTTTGTTAAAATATCATATCAGGTGGATCGACATTATGTAGTCATTGAAAAATTGACATACACAAATTAGACATTGCTTTAAACAGTAGTAATAAATACTACTTTTTATTAAAAACTTGAAATAATTTAAAAAACATTTAAAATCTATCAGATTAATAAGTACTTTTATTTATTGTCTACATTTTATAAAAGAACAAAAATTAAAATTAAGTAAGTAAATTAGTTTTACTTATGTTTGGTAATATATGGACATCCTCATACCAATGTTAGTTAATGTTTAAATAAAAATAATAATTTATTTTAGATTAGTAGTCCTAAAATACTGATTCCCACTTAAAGTTACATTCTATATTCTTTTGAAAACACTATAAATACTCGTGATTACTATTGTGAATTAAATGTTTTTTGTAGCAAATTGTGAACTTTACAGCATTTAACATTGTAACTTTGTACTACTCTTTATTTTAGACATTTAGCGACGGAAATCAAGTGCTTTTCTCTTTTCGCTACCCATTACCATGAAATAAGCCGTCTGGCAGAACTTAATTCATGTGTGAGCAATCTGCATGTCACAGCCGTCACAACTAGTAATACAATAACGCCGCTATATCAAATTCGAGAAGGAGAGTGTGACAAAAGCTATGGAATACACTGCGCTCGTATGGTCGGTTTTCCGGAGGACGTTATAAAAGTAGTAAAATTCAGCGATTTTAGTTATGTTAAATGAAATATTATAATTTTTTTAGGACGCCATAGAATATCAAAAGGAACTAGAACACTATAGCGGCATGAAGTTCGTGACTAATTTTGAACAGTCTTTAAAGAGGAAGGTGATGGGGGTAAGTACTTATCAGTTGCAGTTGAAATGCATTGTATGCAGAAATTGTTAATTAGATTAATTGGCTTTCATTTATTTGTTCTTTTCAAAATTGCATTGTAACATGTTTCATCATTCATCAGTCACGCTTCATCAATTTGTTGTTCTTGCATAAATCATGAATTTCATTATTCGTTAAAAGCTTTGAGTATAAGGAAATAGGGTTATTCCAAACACTTGTCGTTGTCGAAAGGTTAGATGAGTTTAGACTGGTGACATTCAGAAGGCCATGGACTTACGTATCAAAATGCGAGTAATATTTATTCCTTGTTTTTGTTATTCTACATCCTAGCTAATAAATTTGCCTTTGCTGACGGCACATGTAAAAGTCATCTAAACTTTTGGGCAATGAGGAACAAATATAAACTACTTTTCTGTGAGCGTTAGGAATAACAACTTTTTTCATTCTACATAGGTTTTCATTCCGCTAAACTGAAAAGATGACAGGGTATTTTAAATAAAAAAGTAATTTTTTTGACATTAAACTAATTTATTATTTTTTAATATTTATTTGTATTATATTTATTGACAGGAAGGAGATGCAATCATAAAAAATACTCTAAAAAAATTAAAATCTATGGATATTAACAACTTGAGTGACAGTGACTTATGTGAAGTTCTCGATGGTATGAAAAATGAGTTGGGATCTACTGAAAATTTATTTATTAAAGGTTTACTTTCTGATTAAATAATTGTAAGGTGTATCAGATATAGTTGTAATTTAATTTTTTTTGTTTTCGTTTTTTTTTTATTTTTTTTTAATAAATGGTTAACAGTTTTATTGTTTTTTGGCGTTATTTCCACCTGATCTTCCTTTTGGTAATTTTTCGGTGACATCTAAAACAAAGGAAAATTGTAAAGGATACTATTTTTAGAAGCTTAGACAACTTACTTTTTGGTACTTCCTTAATTCCTAAAAGTGAATAATGCTTCTTTGTGACTATAGGTTCCACAACTTCTGTTAAATCAGATCCTGGTAACTCAGAGGTCCCAGACTCAGGTGTACTATTTTCTGAAATGAACAATGAATTTATTATAGCTGTTTTACATTGACAATTTATTGATCAATTAATTCATTAAGTCGCTTCATCAAGAAATTGGAGAAGTGTAATGCACCAAATCTGCTGTCAAATAACTTCATGAATTTATTCATCAAGTTCTTGACGAATTAGAGCATGTTCTAATTTTCGTCAATTTCTTCGTGAAGTTCAGAAGTACCAATCCAACAGATTTCCAGCCTCAGATCAGTGATGAGGTTATGTTATTGGAATATGTAAATAATTGTGTGGCGTAGTAGGTACTAGTTTTGCATTGTTTTTACTGATTTGTTACTTATAAAAACTAATATTTATAACATGTGTCAGAACGATATACCGCTGTTGTATCACTACAATTATGAGTGGAAAAGTGACATTTTTGAAATTTATTTGCTTCTTTGATTCATTGGTAGAACTGATTCATACGTCAAAAAACTTGACAAAGTCTGTAGCAGTGTAAAACCACACTGTTTACCAATAAGTACGTGAATTAATTGATGACGAACTTCTTCAATTTATGCATGAATAAATTGTCAATGTAAAACAGCTATTAGAAACGGCTAGTAAACTAATATAGGCTAATCAATAGAGGTTTTGTTTGTGGCAAAAATACTAGTAGCAAATGGACTGTGTTATCATATAAAAGACAGTCTGCAGATACATGCTTATATGTTTCCTACTCCAATTTAAGTACCATTAATTAATTTTTTATAAACATTTTTATGCAAAAAATGCATTTTTGTTTGTTTTTTTGCTTATAAAACCTAAACTAACGAAGCAATCTGAAAGACAATTTGTAGAGAATCGAAATACGAATAAAACGATAGGTCGATCGATCGGATCGGATAATTAGAAACGAAGAAAACCCGGAAAAATCTGAAAATTCAGCGTTTTTTTAAAAATTCATTACTCCGTCATTTTTTAAATTGTAGATCTGACCCATAGACCTAGTAAACTATGGACTGGCCCTAGAAAGAGAGGTCAATCGCGCTGATGTGTGCAAGGCAGATGAAGCTAGTTGAGGCAAATACCGGTAAAACAAATGATGGTACACGGGTATACTGGTACAAAATGCCGTAAACAAACTTTGAAGTAAATGTCGTGTATTGACATTATTTATTGATTTCTTGAATTTTTGTGTGATTTAGTTAGTGTATGTGAAAGATTTGTAAAAACTAGATATGGTGCAATCGTGTTCTGCGATAAATTACGTAAAGAGACGTTTAAGTGGAGAGAAAAGTTTATTTTTTATGTGTGGGAGAGGTTTTGTTGTTGTCCCTATTTTTTATTTTTTTCGTGTTTTTGTGAACACTGTGCCCGTGTAGTTTTGTCTGCTGTTATTTTTTTTTAGTATATTTTTTTTCCCCTCTTCTCAATATAATGTGTCTTTTTCGTGTCCATTTTTTGGCTTTTTATGTGTTACTCTTCAAATTATTTTTTAACATCAAACCGAATATAACGAAAAAGTTTTAACTGAAATGTGCTTAGCAAAAATTTTCTTCAAATAATATGTTCTGCAAGGCAAGAAAATGTTGAATATCTGAAACAACTACGTCAGAAGAGCTTGCAGTAATTTTAACCGATCGAGTTAACGATATGAGGAAAATAAATGGAGAACTACATAAATAAGGCATTATAAAAACCATTTGGAATATTATAGCTAAAACAATTCAAATATTGTACTGTTACATTAGGCCAGTAATAATAATAAACACTTACATACCTATACTACTGGAAAAAATGAATTTTTCTTATTTTTTGGTCTCTATATTATTTTTATAACGTCTTTGAATACGGCCCAACAGAAAAAAGAGTAAGGAATCGAGTATAGCTAGCTGAATGGTTGAATTAAATGTAGCGCGCTGCAGTCGAAGTTCTGTGAACGAAGCTTAAGCCCTTACTAGCTCCATCTCTTTCGCACACGTCTGAGCGATTGCCGTTTATATAGGCGAAATGACAGTTGGGCGAGTCCAGTAGTTTATAAGGTCTATGATCTGACCCTGTGCACAAAAGTGGTGAATTACAGGTCTGTTTCAACAAGAGTCAGGGATTGGTTTCAAACCGTCAGAAATGTGCATCCAACTAATTCTTGCGATATATTCACTGAAGACACATTTAGAATTTAGCTGGCCAAACATTTCGAACGGTTGGGAACCAATCCCTGACTCTTGTTGGAACAGACCTACATGTACTTTAACTGCACAAGCAGGCGCTGTCGGATCATTAGTTTTGGCACAATTGCAATTTGAATTTTTTGGTGCACTTTTTTGCAAAGTTTCTGGATGCGTTGGAGGTGCTCCGATTTTAATTTTTCTGTCGGATTTTAAAAGTAGAGGTATAACACTACAAAACGTATAATCTACGTTTCCTATAAAATGATGAGAAATATGTGAAAAATTCCTCCAAACATGCTGAAAACGGTCGAGCGCGCGTACGCGGTCGAGTAGTGGGGGAAGGTCGTGGGATGAGGGGCAATGGATATATAGGTATACAATTTTAAATATTGTTAGTTATACAGGGTGTTGTAAATAACTGCGAAATATTTTAGGGGGGTGGTTGCCGAAGTTATTTTGTGAAAAAAAGTTCGTAGAAACGTAGGTTGAAATATGCCATTCGAGATACAGTGTTTAAATTTTAATTTTTTATCTACTTTTATCAATTATTTCAAAGAGTTTTAAAGATGATGACTCGAATTTTGATAGTTGTATTTATATTAGAAATATTGACAGTAACCTACTAGATAATGTATCAATAGAAATTAAAAATACACAGCTTGCAATAAAATGTTTTATTTTTTCCTCAAAAACGGTGCATCCTACGAAAAAAATTGAAGAGACCAATTTCATTCAGAATTGATGGCGGATTTCCAAAATAATATCAAAACAGGAAAAAGTCGGTAGCGTAGCATTTTTTGTTAAAAAAAGGTTGTGGCATTCTCGCACGAACGCCATTGGCGCAAGTAGAAATATTCGGATCACCCCAAAAAAATGCACATTTATTCCTCCAAAGAGTTTTTAAAATTTCAAGTGAATATCTTTAAAACTCTGAAATATTTAATAAAAATAAATAAAAAATTAAAATTTAAACACTGTATCTCGGAAACGAAGCATATTTCGACCTACGTTTATAAAATAACTTCGGTAACCACTCCCTAAATTATTTCTCACTTATTTACCCTGTAGATTAATATTATTGTAGGTGGTAATACATAATAAATAATACCAATACACGGAATCACAATGACGTGGAACCTGTGGACATTCCTTGTTTTGTGCCTTCCTTTTTTTGACATTTACGCTAAATCTTGACATCAAACGTGAATTTAAAAATTTTCTTACAAAATGTACTTTTCTGTTCCAAAGGATACATATTTAAGTGTCCTTGTTAAGGAAATTTTATTACATTTTGTATTCAGTGTGTCCCGGTACTTGATACAAAAAAGTCGAGTACAAATAGATGGGGTCAAAATAATATCAGTTCTTCATATAAATTTTTTTCATACGGGCCTTTGCTAACAAGTTACGGGCCCTCAAAGGTGAAAATTAAAAAGTTATTTTTATTTACAGCCTCTAAAGTATTAACGTCAGCATGATACAAATTTGAAGATCGATAACATGCATACAGCTTGTTTTTGATGTAAGTGAAACTTCATTATGCCCTGAACGCCAGGGACGGACTATGACCAATGGTTAACAACTCAGAATTTTTGCATAGATGATGATCGCAATCTGCCTGCATAAAAAATAAGTTCCTTGAAGAATTTACCAACGATAATACCCTCTTGGTTCAACTCGGTAAAATTAACAGTTTAGGAAATATTTGTGATTTTATGTCACAGTGCACATTGAGCGGCGCCTCCACCATTTTTTGTTTTTAAAATTTTGAATTAGACATAATTACTATGTTAGGACCGTAAATATTTTTAAAATAAGACCCTGGAAAATCTTATGTCTGCTAATGTAATTTTCACTAACAAAAATGCCAGACAGTTTTAAATAGCCGAAAGGGTGGTTCTTAGGGGTGAACTTGCAAGAAGAAAAAAAAAATTCATCGATTACTTTTTGTCTGGCAATCGAAAGAATGACAATTTTTGTTATGAAAATGATAAAAATAAATTACCAGACGGTTTCCATTGTTCGGAGTCGAGTATCTGCGGAAAATTATGTGAAAATTTTAACATTTTTCACTGATCTTAATGTACAAAAAAAGAGGGTCATTGTGTTTGCGAAATGCGCGTATAAACACAACATACAAATGCCAGACAACTTGAGCTATTCGAAAATATATAAATTAAATTAATTAATTAAAAAGTTACAAAAAAATTAATAAAAACTTGTTATTCTTTTTTTTTTCTAATTTAAACGATTTATTTTTGTCTGGCATTTTGCATTACTATTGAAAATACATATTTATACTTCAGGTTAAAACGCCAGACAAGTTGGGTTGTTCGAAAATTAAAAAAAAATTAATTAAATTCAATTAAATAGTTGCAAAAAAAATAATGAAAACTTCATTGTCTTTTTTTTGTCTGGCAATTCGTTTTTTAATAAAAAATA